GCCCAGCTGGGGGCGGGCGCGCGGGGGCGGGGCCGGTCACGGGCGGCGCAGCAGCACGTGCTCAATGTAATTCTCCAGCTCCTCCTGCTCCTGCAGCCGGCGCTCCTCCGCGTCCGCCTCCTCCTGCGCGCGCCTGGCCTGGGCCTCCAGGTCGGGATGGTGGCGCGCAGGTGGCAACGCGTGGTGGAAGTGACGGCGGCGGGAGGATGCGGGTGGCTGCAGTGTCCGCGGCCGAATGTAGTTGGGGAAAGGGTGATAGGGCCCCGGGGGAAACACCTCATCCTCCTCCCGATCCCAGGGTGGGAGCACTTCGTTCCAGTCTGGCAACTCATCCCGGGCCGGGGCGGGAGGTGGGGGAGGTGGGGAGCGGACATGAGTGGGGGCTGGGGCGGCCCGGGGGGGCGGCACTGGCTCGGGAGGGGCGTTCTTCTTCCGCTTCCGTTTTTCCTCCACCTCTTCGATGATACTGACCACATCGTCGGCTGGCAGGTGGAGTTTGGTGGACAGTTCAATGAGGCTATCGATCGTCTGCGGATCCATCTCCTCGTCGTCGTCGTCCTCTTCCCCTCCCTCCTCTGCCCCCTCTACATCCTTCCGCCGATGGCCTGGCGCCTCCTCCTGGGAGCGCTTGTCCTCGGCTCCGGCTTCCCCGTCCTCCTCCTCGGCGAACAGGAGCGCGTTCTGCCGCGCCCTCTCCGCCTCCTCTGCCTCTGCCTCCGCCTCCGCCGCCTCCTCATCCTCTTCCTCCAGATCGTCCTCCCCACCACCGCGTCTCTCCTGCTCCGCCTCCTCCTCCCTCTCGCTCTCCCGCTCTTGCTGCGTCTCCTGCAGCCCGCGACCCCCGAGATCGCGCTGCCGGGCTCCGCCCTGCAGCAGATACTGGAGCAGCAGGTCGGAGGCGAGGTCGGCCAGCCGCTCTTCTTGCGCTGCGGCCTGCCGGGTGGCCTCCGCCTGTCTCCTCCCTGCCTCTACCTGAGCCAGCCCTTGCTGAAGCAGGCGCTCTCCAGCCTCGGAGCCGCCCAAGAGTGAGCCCTCGAGCCGGCGCACCTTGGGGAAGGGGCCACCTAGGCTTTGGTACGCCTTAGATAAGGGTGTCAAAGTCTCACCTAGATGTGTTTTAGGGGAGGCCACCCCTTCCCCGAACTGATGGGTTTCGGAAAGGGGAGCACTTTCGGGCATTCGAGCCTGGAATTGCGAAGGGACTGGGGGTGGCAGAGGAGCGCGCTCCGGGACGCGCGCCTGGAACTCTCCCCAGGAAGCGCGCCATACGCGCTCTGGCCCGGGGCTCTCCAGATTGACTCGGGTCAGCGTGTGCGTGCGGGTTTCCGTCTCTGCTGCGGTCGTCTCTTGCTGGCGCTTAGCATTGCTCGGACTGAAATCTCGAAGTTCTTGGAGCAAGGATGCTAGCGCCTCCAACTCTTCTGAGCGGTCGTCGGCCTCGGGATCGTTGTCCTGAGTCTGAGGGCGAGGGGGGGCTGCAGCGGGCACTTGGATCTCTGGTGCCGGGAGGCTATGGGTCTGACTGCGCACGGACTCTGTCAACAGAGCTTCTGCTGCTTCTTCGGGTGTTCCCTGCTGGGAACCTCCTGGGACCGCCGGGGGCGAGGCCGGACGGTCCAGTGCCTGCAACAGTACCGCGGCCAGCGCCCGGGGATCCACGCCCTGGAAGAGCTCTCCCTGGTCCTGAGGCTCGGAATTCCGAGCGGCTCGGACCTCTGGGACGCTGTCATCCTTTGGCCGGGACACTGCGTCCTCAGCTACCTGCTCTTTATGCTCAGAGCCGAGGGGAGGAGGATAAGCATCGGAGCGCCCGGGGGGCGCTGCTTCCAACCCCTGGATCAGTATAAGGAAGCAGAAGAGGACAGATACCGGCAACGTGAGGGTTTTCATGACCAACGGGCTGCCAGAGACTGAAAAATAGAAAAAACCAAAGAAATAGATGATTTCTGTAAGAATTCCCCGGTTTCTATTTCTGCATTCCCTTCCCCCACCTTTAAGAAGGAAATCCGGGGTTTCCCTCATTTCTCTAACCTTACCCGAAGAGAACACGTTTAGCAGAGAACAAGAAAGATGTAGCGATCTCTGGAGTCGTGCAAATGAAAAACAACGTCCGCAGTCCTCGTTCTGGGTGCCCAGTGCCTCCTGTCTCCCCTTCCCTAAGTCATCTCTCAGCCAGCGCCCGCGTACAAGGATAAGCGGGAGGGGGGGTATCTGTTCCCTCCCCACAGGACTCCCCGGATGGTGCGTGGGCGACTTCATCAGCGACAGAAAAGCAGAGACTCCCACATTTACCAAAGACCCTTCTCGGGGGGCCCGCTGTGCTCTCAACACCCCACTCAGAAAGAAAACCCTCCCTTCACGCCCACGACTGAAGAGGGTTGGAGGAATGGACATCGGATATTTACCAGCCGGTGTCACGACGGCGGAAGGTGGAGAGGAGGGTCGGGATAGGGGGAAGATCGGGACCCGTCCGCCTTGACTCCGTCCCGCGGCTGGAGTATCAGCGATGGTCGAGGGCTGGCGTTCTAGGAGCTGGGCTCAGCTGGGTCAGCAACGCGCTCTCGCTCCGGCTTCAGCACGCTGGACAGCGCCCGCGTCGCCGCCTTATAAAGGGGAGCGCGCGGGGTCACGTGGGCTCGCCCCGCCCCATTGACGTCAATGTTCATTCATGGGGAAGCGGGCGGGTGCCTGATGGATGGTGGATGTCCAATGATTGGAGGATGAGCGTCGCTCCCGGCCTGCGCCTGCGCAGTGAGGCCCTCGGCTGGAGGGGCGTGCGCTAGCCGAGCTCCGGGAAATGAATGAATGAATGAATGAATGAAATGTCGAGGCGGGCGGGGCAGGGGGCTATGAATGAATGAAGGAGGGACGAGGAGAAAAGGATGAATGAATGAATGGAAGAATGAATGGATGGGTGGGTACAGAGGAGCCAGAAGGCGGGAGGGTGGGTTACAAAGCAACTTGCGGCGCAGAGCCCGCGTTGCTGAGTAGAATAGGCTAGGAAGAGGGCACCGCCAGCATCTAACTGGGCGTCAGTAAGAGATCAATACTGGACGGGGGGACGGTAAGGGTTTGAAAGCCGGGGAGGGGGACGAGCTCCCTACTCCGCCGCCACAGCGTGGTCTATAGGGAGCACGCCCAAGGACGACGCGAACCTGAGAGGAGGGAGTGGATCTGCGGTGCGGAATGCCCGCCCAGGGCCAGGGCAGATGGGCGGATATTGCGGTTTGGGTAATCACCTTGGAAAGGGTCCTAGTCGGAAGAGAAAAGGGAAAGATTAACGAGGTGTGTGCCTCTGGGTCGTGTCTGCTCACGATCGGTTCGTGTCTGGAGGGGATGGGGAAAAAAAGGTGTGCCTGTCCTTCTGGTCAGCGGACTCTGTTAGGACTCTGTTGTGCCCCTTTTCAATCCACCTCTCCCACACCCTTCTGCTTATTTTCCTCTCCCCCACAGCCCCCACCCAAGGACATTTGGAGGGCGAGACCAGACCAGGTGGGGAGGGGGTTGAGCAGGTGGAGAGGGTGACTCAACTCCATTTCTCTCTGCTGCTTAAAGGGGAGGTCTGAACGCGACCGGAGGGGGGTGCGCTGCCACGTCAGAGATGGACCCTCTCAGCCATCAGACCCTTAGACCGTATCTCCTGCCCAGAGGGGTTGGGGCTGGGGGCTTGAACAGCTAGAGGTTCCGGGAGTGGGGGGCGATGACGCAGAGATTGCGCAGAAAATCTATCAACCAGCCCGGTCCGGTGAAGGGAGACCAGACGTGGGCGGGGGTGGGATGGGAAGACGGAAATGGGGAGGGGGTAGAGGAGAGGGAAAGGTGGCCCCGGGAGCAGCTACTGCAGGAATGAAGGGGAGGGAGGGAGGCTGGAGGGGGCTGCGGTGCAGGCGGAGAGCAGTGCGGGGGCGTGGGCAGGGAAAGGGGGGGTGACAATGACACATACCAGAAACACAAGAACTGCGGACACAGGGGTGCTTGTAGGCATACGAAAAGCCCCTCCCAGCACCCCAACAATCTGGAAACCAGGATGGATGTGTGTGGAGGGTCTCAGTGCCTCTTTCAGAGTTAGCCCTACCTTCATCCCACCATTAAACAGACCCTCATTCTAAGCCCCTAGCTCGTGCACGCGCCTGCGTGCGGGCATGGGCACACACACACACACACACACACACACACACTCACGTGCTTTCCCTCTATAACCAGCAGTGGCTTCTCCCTTCCATCAGTGGCTTGACTTTCCCAGAAGAAAACCCATCAGCTCTGCGGAGAAAAAGGTGGGGTGAGGGAGGAAAGGGAAGAGATGGGGGCAGGGGAAGGGACGGAAAGGAACCTGAAGCAGGTTGAAGGAGAGAAACAAACAAACCAACTGGAGAACCAAGGTGACAGTATACACTCCAAAGAAGGGAGGGAGAAGGGCCTAGAGATACCCCCAACCACCACTGCAGCAGCGACGGACACTCCCCCATCCAACCATCCAGAGCCTGCGGCTGGAATCCCCTCCATTCCTTTCCCCTCCCCATCTCCCTTCATCCGGAGCAGTGGGCTAAGGAGAGGGTCGCATTACCTTCCTTAAGGAAGATCAGAAGGCTGCAGGTTCCGATGTCTGAAGTGGGGGGGGGGCCTTCAGACAGAGGAAGGTGGGGGAGAGAGCTCGCCAAAGAGGGGTGACTGAGGGGATTGAGAGTCTAAGTTTGAGATCCTGGGAAAGGAGACAGACACCGAGAGAAACCAGATACCTGTGGGTTTGTATGCGTGCACAGGCACTCTTGTGTGCGTGTACATGTGTTTGCGTTTCTCTGGGCAGAGAGTAAAGAGACCCAAGGCAGAGAAGAAAAAGAGAAATAGGAAGAAGCAAGTGAAGGAATCAGGTTGATACTGGATGGGTGCGGTTCCAGCTTAAATAAGTTGGGTGGGGGGCTTCTCTTACCACCTGTGTAGCTGTTGGTGCATGGGGTAAATTCTAATCTCTTGAAACTCTCGGCAGACACCTGTGCTATTGGGGGTCTTTGAATGCTCCCAGATCTGGTGTGTGACTTGGTGTGCGTGCCTGTCTGGGGATCCTTTCCTGCCTTTTGGTGTGTGTCCATGCTTATGTGAACTTCTCTGTACCGTTCTTGTCTCTCTCCTTTCTTCACCTTGCAAATCTCAGGACAATAAAGTCTATAATTGAAGCCATCTGTCTGCAGCTCCTCTCCCCCAAGCCCTTATCCCAGGCTGCTAGGGGCATTCCCTATTTCTCTATCATCCTCAACTCCTCCTTATTTGGAAACCCAAGTAACTGCTCATAAACCTTAAGACCCTTGGTCATCATAGGGTGGAGATGGGCAAGGAGGGCCCAGATAGCAGACAGGTTTGGTAAGTTCATTTCATAGGTTCAAGCCCCTTCTGCCTTCATGCAGTTGGGACTCTGTGTCTCTCTACCTGGTCGCTAGCTTAACTCATTCACATATCACATATACCTCCCCTCCCAGGGATGACAGATGCTCCTCACGACTTCCTCCTTCGTAGTAGTTATACTGTTTTGTTGTTTCTGAGGCAAGGTCTCAAGTAGCACAGGCTGGCCACCAACTCACTATATAACTAACTGAAGATGACCTTGAATGTCTGACCCTGCCTCCCCCGCCTAAGTGCTACGATTACAGATGCAATCCTCAGTGCCCAGTTTATGCGGTGTTGGGGATTGAACTCGGGGCTCCATGGATGCTGAGTAAGCACTCTACTGATGGAACTCCACTCACACACACCCCCCCCCCGCCCAGTTCTATCAACCACCTCTTAAGACTCTGCCGCCTCTACATAAGAAAAGCTCTAGACAAGGGACAGGTCCCTAGGTTGTAGGAGAGGAGGAAAATGGCCAGATGGATAATGACATGGAAAGACAACTAGAAAAGGCATAGCTAAGACGAGGACATGGAGGGGACACCCAGTATTTGCTCTGATTTGTGTGTGTGGACCTGTGTACTTTGGTCCTGGTATCTGGATCTCCCACGCATTCCAGGGGTAGAAGGAGAAGGTGAGGTTCAGCAGAGCCATGATCACAGAGTTGAAGGTTTGGAAAACCAGGGATGAGGGCTGGGGGAAGGGCATCTGGAAGTGTGGGAGAGGAAGAGCAGGGGCTTCGTCTCCCCACCCCCAGCCCTGCAGCTCATCCAACCCCCCTTTTCCTACTTCCCCTCCCCCAACCGGTGACTCACCTCTGCAGCCATTCATTTCGTCAGCCATGGGAAGGATGGAAGTAGGCAAGGAGAGGGGCGCTTGATGAGGAGACAGGGGTCTCCACCTTGAACTAAAAAAAAAAAGTGTTAAAGACCCTTGAGAATGGTCCGATTTAGAATCCATTCATGTCTTACCCCCCAAGCCAACCCAAAGCTGGGGAAGTCTGGGAAGGAACTTCGAGAGAGGATCAGGGAGGGGGGCCCAAGGTTCTGAATGATACATGGTGGGGAGGGGGATTCCCACTCTGATTTTTAATCCCAAGGTCCCATTCTATTAGACCCCCGCCCACCCACTTCTGAGTGGGAGAAGGGAGACCCAGCAAGCCGGGGGAGGCCATTGCCGCATAGATGAGTCACCAAGCAACGAGAAAAAGAGACAGAGATGGGAGAGACACAGAGAGACTGTTACTTGAGAGATCTAGGAAGGGTAACACACCACATACATTTGTGCGTGTGCACACACACACACACACACACACACACACACATCCACACACACAATGAAGGTGGTATTCACAACTAACATGAGAAATTGGGTGCTTCCATAATCTTGCTCCAACCCCTTCCAAAATCCACCTGTCACAGGATCCGACCCCCCTCTTACCGAGTTACTCTCCGACTCTCAGACACACCCACTTAACAAACACAATGTCACACTTAGCACAGTCACCCAGACTTAATGCTGAGGATGTACCCGGAGTGACAGTAATTCTCACCGACAGCCCTTATTCCTTTTTCCTCCCAGGGTGGTGGGAGAGAGGGCTAAAAAAAGAAAGAAAAGAAAAGAAAAATAAAGAAAAAAGAAAAAAAGCCTCATGGAACGTGACTTCAAAAATCAAAACGCAGTTTCGGGGACTCGCAGCCTGCACTATGTACACGCGACAATACACTTAAGTCGCCTGCTTCGCCATCCACACATAGCCAGTGACATTAAGCATCCTCATAAAAAGAAAAGACACTTAGAGTACCTGTTTCAGAGGATGCATCAGATTTGTTGCCCCGAATACATCCCACCCAGACACCCCTTGGCTCGCACACGTATGTACAGAAACGCAGACACACAAAGACACCCATGGGCGCACTCACACGGACGAGAACCACCTTGCGCTGCCTCGCCCGCGTCCGCACTTGTCCTGGCGCCCCCGTGTGGTAGGATTGAGGATCGTAGTCTCAGCCGCTCTTGGAGCAGAAGGGGTGGGGGGCGGTGCCCAGGTTCGTTTCACCTCCTTCTCTCTGTCACGCGCTGCCCACCCAGAAATGAGGAAAGGCAGAGAACGTCTGAAAAGCACAGTCTAAAGAGGTGGGAGCCAGATGCCTGGATTGGGGTTGAGAGAGGCTGGTCTTGGATGACAGAGTGAACTTAGGAGGCGAATCCAAGAATTTAGGAGGCAATTCATTCCTATGTCCATGGGAAACTGAGGCCTTGGGCTAGCCAGGGCACAACCTGGTTCCTTTCTTCTGTTTGGTGGCGGTGGGGGAGTGCAATGGACAGCATCTCTCCCCGCCCTTTGCTCTAGGAAGTCATTAGCCCGATTGCTACCAGGCTTGGAGATCCTCTTGAATACAGGCTGATGGAGGGAGGGAGTCATCCTTCCCCATGGTCAAGAAATGAAACATACACACACAGAGGAAAGACCAAAGGTCCTTTAGTGCCACATGGCCATAATGGAAATGACCAGAAAGGTGGCATGACCAGGCTGAGACAGGGCAGAGTAGCTGCAATGGCTGAACTGGAAGGAATTAAACAGCGATGACTGTCCCCTTTTGCATGCACTGAAACCTTCTGGAGCCCTTCACAGCCCACACCTTGGATTCCATCTCCAGCAAACTCTGTCCTGAAGGTAGCATTTCCCTAGCAACTGTTCCCTTGTCCAACAAGAAGTTCAAGCCGATAGCATCTCCCAGAGAGAGATTCCGCGCATGCTCGGGGCTTGGACCGCTTAGGTTACAGACTCTGAAGAGGCTTCTGGCAACTGAGAGTGACTTAGAAACCACTTGGATCTTCGTGAGTTTGTTCTCTCCCTCTAGTTAGCGTGGAGATCCATCCAGCAAAGGAGACCACACCCTATAAACACAAGTCATTTTTCATATTTAAGCAAAAAGAATCCAGGGTGAGGTTGGGGTGCAGCTCAATCGGTAGAGCCTTTGCCTAGAATGCCCAAACCGAACCCCTGACTTCCATCACCAGCACCCGTTGCATAAACTGGGTCTCACCAGGCATGTCTGTAATCCCAGCACTTGGGAACAGAAGCAGTAGGATCAGGAAGGCAAAGCCATTCCCAACTACATCTCAAATTCAGGCCCGTCTTCGGGATACATGAGATGTTGTCTAAGGGGGTGAGGGGAGTCCACACGTTGTTTAGAGGAATGATGGGAGACGGATCCAGAAATATCATGGGATAGCCCTCTACTGCCCTCAGGTTTCCAGCCCAGCCAGAACAGCTCGCTGGACGGAGCCTTGAACAGCGAAACCGTAGTTGGATAAATTTTTAGGAACCGCCCCCCCCCAATCTCCCTTAGGCGGACAAGTTCAGAAAATGCCTCACCAGAGATAAACACGGGAACCTAAATGGGAAACATTAGAAATATGTTTCCTTTACAAAGTCTCATATACATTGGGCAGTGGGTGAAGGCAGAGGGTTAGGACACAGCGGGAGCTAAGTCTTAGAGAGACGCTCAGAGTGGAGGAGAAAAACGGGCAAAGAGAAAGGCAGTGCCTACGGATAAATAGAAGCTGAGGTGGGGGGCCTGGGGCCAGCTCTGGGGCTTTAGGGAGGGAGTAAGGATAAATATAGCTACAGGACTCTCCTACTAGGGGCTGAGTGCTCCACACACTTTTGCTCGCTTCCACCAGGGGGTGTAAGAGAGAAGCCAAGAAGGACGTTCTTCGCTTCGGGACAGGGAAGAACTCTGAAGGGGCGGGGGCACAGACCGGGTAGCGGTAACGCAAAGGAATCCCCTAAATCAGGAGCTGATGTGGGCAAGGGCATTTTGGGGTGCTTTTAGCAAGATAAGAAAAGTTAGGGGCTTAGGAATCAGAACCTATGGGCTGAAGAGTTGGTTCGATGGTTAAGAGTACTGGCTGCTCTTCTAAAACTCCTGAGTTTGGTCGCATAACAACCTGTAACTCCAGTCCCAAAGAATGCAGCGTCCTCTTCTGGCCCCCTCCGGCACTGCACACACGTTGCATACACACATACACATGCAGAAAAAACACCCTTGCACATAAAATAAAATACATTTTTTTTATTTTTTAAAAAAGAAAACAAACTACCTTTTTTTTATTATACATACCCAATCCAAGTTCCCACTCCCTCCCCACAATTTTTTAAAAATTTAAAAGCAAACTTTTAAAGGAGGAGAGAGGCTGGAGAGAAGGCTCAGCAGTTAAGAGCACTCGCTGCTCTTGCAGAGGGCCTGCGTTCAGTTTCCAGCACCCACATGGTGGCTCACAGTCGCCTGTAACTCTGGTTTCAAATGACCCAGTATCTTCTTCTGGTCGCTCTGGCATCAGCCACACATACAGGAAAAACATCCACATACATGAAATAAAATAAGTCTAAAAAGGAAAGAATTAGAGGTTAGGGCCCACAAGATGCCTAGTGGTCAAAGGCTGTTGTCACTATTGTCATATTCCTTGGATCACAATAGCGGAAGGAAAGAACTCCCCCAAACCTCCCTCTGACCGTCACGCACCTACAATGACACTCTCACACATACACAAGATCATTAAATATGAAAACAAAACGTTGATACTGTTTGTTTGTTTTAAATATCAGTCTATTTCTGAGGGGCGGAGCTTGGGGCTGGCAGGGGTGGGGCTTCCTTAGGATCTGCAGGAGGGGAGGGGTCTAAAGAGTTTCTTGCTCCTTTGTGGAGGAGAGACCGTAGATGTCCAGCCCTCCAGCAGGCACTGTGCAGTGTGACCCTTGGCCAGCTCAACCCTCCTAGGCTGATTTGGCAAGTCAGCCAGCTGTGAGCACAACCGGGATGCCAAGTAGAGCTGGTACAGCCTAGGCAAGCGACTGGTCGCTGCAGGTGCCACAGCAATTGGCTCTGCACTTGCGCACAGGAGCTGCTGCGGAAGGCAATGCTGGCCATCTCCACCGGGCAGAATGCGGAGGGATACAGGCTCAGCCTGCGCTGTGGGCCTGCAGCTCCAGGCCTCTTGAGTAGCCACTGTTGATCACACCAACAGTCCTAACTAGAGGTGGACTAGAGTCAGAAGGGTCCCACTACCTGGATCCCCACAGAAAGATGGATGAGTGTGGAGTAAGCTAGGGATAAGGGTGTTTGGATGCCTGGGTCTCCAAAGGGGGACGAAACGAGGGAGATGAATCAGAAGATAAGGTGGAAGAGGGGAAGGTTCAAATTAGAAAATTTTAGGTTCTTAAAGAATTGGCAGGGTCTTCTGGCCGTGGAGATGGGATGTCAGGCCATCTGAGCATCCTCCGTCTTCACCAGCTTGGGGGTTAAGTATTTCCTCAGTTGGGGTTGGAGGGAAGATGGTTGCCTGGGAAAAGCCATGCCACCTTGGTCCTCGGAGACTGTCCCTTGATTGGCTGTAAGCAGAAACAGCGCAGGAGCCTAGGCTGCTTCTGGTGTAGAGCCTTCAGGGTCTCCAGGGTCTGGATGCAGGCTGGGAGTGGCTACCGCTGCAGATGCCAGCTTCATCCTCGGCCGCCAGGGGGCTCTCTCCCAACCTCCGCCCCAGCCATCATCACTGGGGGTTCACCTGGCCCACAAGCCGCAGACCACATCACTCAGGTGACAGGCCAGATTCGAGGAGGCCAATATAGCTGGGCCTACAGGGCTGAAGGAGAGCTAGGATCCCTACCTCTTCGGCTTCGAGAACATCCAGACCCAGACCATTCGCCACGTCCTGTAACTCTGGCTGTAGCCCCAAGACTTTACCCACACCCCCAGCTTGCTACGGTATTTTTTCCTCTATTAAGCTATTGTAGAGATAAAATATAAATTATTGCTATCCCTTTTTAACAAATGGATGAATTTGAGAAGTGGTTTTCAACCTGTGAGTTGTGACCCCTTTGGGGATTTTCTAAAGGGTCCT